GTGGATGTGTGTCTGCACTGTGTGAACATGCATGAAGGGAACAGCTAAATCCCAGTGCAGCGGTGAAATGGATTGATAAGTCAGTCTGCAAATCAATCATGGACTCATTTGGAATCGTGCATGACAATGCATGCAACAATCATGTTTAACTACTGGTAGCATTAAACGTCGTGAGCTTGAATGTTCCCTAGTTCACTTTGTTTTAAATCATGTAATGTTCTAAGTGAAAGTCATTTGGCTGATAGCGTTATAAAGATTTCATAAACAGTTGCTTTCACTCGCGTGATTTGTCTTCCCCTGGGTTGCTGTTTTGCAATTTTTAAAACATGAGACAGTTTAACAAGCTCCTTAACATCAGTTTTTATTACCACGGACACACGATGATACCGTTCTTGGGCTCAGTGCCAGGACAAATTAGATCTGCTTCTAATTTCAAGACCGAAAGAATCTCCGTCTTATAGTTGTAGATGATATTCAGTTATAAGGGCAAAAATAAGGCGCAACGTCGGTCAACAACTTAAACTGAGGCTTTGTAGTTGCATCGATAAGCAGACTTCGGGTCGATTGAGCTGAGCAAGCATTTTTGGAAAATGAATGGACAAGATCATGACTTTTCCAGGATAATCATATATTATCTGCTTTGCAGCCATCATAGTCTGGTTGGCCTGATAATGAAAGCTGATTAGCTGTCAGCTCAATTGTCCTCTCACATGCATCCCGGTTCACCAATGTCACAGGAACTTTTGCAAAAAGTCATCACATTTAATGTTTTTTTTTTCTTTAATCCTTCTAAGAGTAGGTGCTGGATTTTGTCAGTGTGAATTTAGTATTTTCAAATCTCCATGTACAGTATTGTGATAAGTCTTGGGGAGCTATTAGATTTGCCGTTATGACAGTTTTATAATGACCATGTAGCCTACAATCAGATCTTTGCTCAGGCTGAAATGTTAGCAAATGTGAAAAAAATGGCATGCCATTGTGGAGTTAGTTTGCCCATCTATTTATTAGTTGCCTTTGTGATTGTATCGAGTGGACATTTACATTTATGGCATAATGATTTTCAAATAAATAACTTCACTAGCCAGGTTGAACTGACTGTTCACCTTAATTTAGAGTTACAATCAAACGATGGAGCATTTATTCTTACAATGTCCATAACTTCTGTTTCCATGCCAGTGTTGCACTGAGCAGAATTACACTGCCATGGAACGGCTGTGTCATGGTCTGAATTCAAATGTAAGCTTCGGCTGATGTCATGCTGTTTTTCCTCAAGCCACAAATCCATTGAGAGTGTCCACAGGGCCTCAGCTGGTTGCAGTCAAGGGGTGCACGCTGTTTTGCCTCAGTTGCTTCCAGATACCATAAACAGTCAAGGCCACATTTCATGATTATACTATTCTCTTATCAGCACTTGGCTGGTTGCAGTTTGGATTGCCCATATACTGTCCTACATTGTAGAAAACGAGAAGAAAGAAAATTGGTTACCTATAACATTGCTTCATTCTAAATGTTTCTTTCATGAAATTCAGATGCCATCTGATTGAGGATGACTATATGACACGATCAACACATTTGAAAGCTTTACAATCAGGCTGTCAAATTCATTTTTGTCTCGGCCACATTGTAGTTACAGTTTCCCTTGAAGGACCGTTATGACTGTGAAACTGTAAAAAGAAGTCAAGAATAATTGTTTCTTCAACTACTTATGTTACTGTAATGTGGAAACAAGAAAATGCTGACAATATCTGTTATTTATTACATATGACATTTTGGAACAGATATTAGGAAGCATCATGGAAGTTGACGTGATTTGCTTTCGCGGCTCACATAAAATGATGTGGCGGGCCAGATTTGGCTCCCTGGCCTTGAGTTTGACACATGTGCTTTAGATCATCATCAATATTTCTATTATTATTGTTAATTCAAAGTTCCTCCTCCATTTTAATTTCCCTACCCAGTGAGGCAATTACCTTCACACTGCTTTCTGCATGTGCCTTGCCGATAGAGGTCAGAACGTGACTGTTCACGGCATGCGTCGGACTCTTTTAGTTACTCTGGTAGCTGACAGAAGGGAAGTCTGTTGTCACACTTCTTCATCATTAGCTTCCCTGCCTTCCCTCATCTCGCTCCCTTGAAAGTTAAAAAAGTAATCAAAGAGTCAGCATCTGACAGCTGTCGACTCACTTCTTCTGCTCCCAAAAATATTTTGCAAAAACTGGCACCTTCTCCACAGATACCCTCAGTTGCAGGGTGCTGAAAACCCCTCAAACTTGTCACAGGGGAGGCACACATTTTTAAAATCTCTGCTAAATGGAAGATGCTTCACCACTTATTTGCTCCCCTGGTCCTACCGTAGGAACAGCAGGCTTTTATCTCCTCTTTGCGGAGGACTTTTTGCTCCCTACTGGTCCGTCCTGTCCTTCACATGACCGCGTTAACTTTAATATGCCTCAGAGCATATGGAGACTTTGGGTGGTGGCGTTGCACAGCACATTTGTGTAGACATTGCAGTCTTTGGGAAGGATGTCCTTCTCAAAAGACTCAACAGTACTCTGGAAAAAGTTCGGTTTTTTTTCATTGTCAAAACAAGTCTGACAAAACTGTAGAGACTGAAGTAGTTACTAATCTTAGCGAAACAAAACCATTTGCACACGTACACAAGCGACTCGTCCTCCTCGAAATATGTTGTCTTTATACTAAGTTACGAATTTGACAAAGCGGAGGAGTCTTATAAGCGCTAATGCAGCGACAGCACTGTAGTCTGCCATTATTTTAACTTTTCAAGTGTCCGTGCATACTTAAACCTACACAAAAAGGAGAACTGAGTCATTCTCACAAACATCCACTCGAATGCCTGTAAATGACAGTAAATGATCTTGCCGTGGTTATTGTATGTACATACAATAACCACGGCAAGATCAACTCTCAACCAAGACCAAGTATGGTTGGTAAGGTTTGTAGTAACTGTTAAGAATCATAATTTACTGTACATATGTCCTATTTGTAATGGCATGCAATTAACTACAAATGCAAATATTGTACATCAGAAACGTGACTGGCTAGTTGCCATCAGCAAATTAGTGTCAACGGGAAATCAAGTAGTGTTTGGCTGCACTTCAGAAATATGAAGCACTGAGCATTCTGAGAGTGGTAAGTGTGCATGATAAGCTCTCATTATAATGCTCCCTCTACTAAAAAGCCTCGACAGTGGTGCCGAGGCGAGGAATGCAACAACTTTAGTACCAAATTGTGGCGATGAGGGGATCTGTCATGTTTATGGCCTTGAAGAAAAGCGGCGGTTTTAAGACTGAATGGGAATGATGCCAACCCTCTCGGTTTCATTAGAGGTCTCCTTAAAAATAAATTCAAACATGTGTTTGGGTTTGCTTTTGGACATACAATACATACAAAGTGTTTACAGGATCATGTTTTTAGCACACTTTCAAAAACAAACGACGGGTAAAGTTACAAAGACGACAGGGCAAATTGCAGAAATTCATAAGCACAGTATTGCTATTAGTGGCTAGGCGCAAAATGCCAAAGAAGTAATTGTTTCATACATTTTGCCCTGTTTGTTTTTTGATTTTTTTCTTTCTAATCAGCATTGAGCACAGCAATCAGGAGGATGCGCAAAGACATTTTGACTCAAATTATGTCGAAGTTCAATTTTGTTGAGATACTGCTTGGACTTTCTGTAACATAAAACACCGGATGCCTTTGCTAGAAGCAAATCAGTAACAATTTTGAGGAACACCCTCTTTAATTTCAACTATATTTGTTATTTATTGTTAAATAATCTGTAAAGCGCTTTTGGTTCAGCCGCAGCTTTTATGAAAGCGTTATATAAATAAAGATGTATTATAAGGTGAAACTGTTTTGCTTGGCAACTGATGGTAGTAATGTAGTAAATGGAATAAAATCATCAATTATCAAACCCGACATTGGAAAATGCTTACTTTATATTGTCTGGATTAAATTACTTCGAGCTTCTCCTCTCGGGAATTCATTAAAACATTACTCCCTTGCCTCTAGCTTCTTCAGAATACTGCAGCAAGGCTTCTCACTGAGTCCAAACAGAGGACATCACATCACCCCATCGTTTGTTCATTTAGCATCGTTATATCGATTGCTGCAAATTGTAGAATTGACTTTTGGATTTTACAGATGAATTAGTTCCTGTTGTTGTGTCCTTTCTTTGTCCTCAACCGGTTTTATTTTACGTGTGATAGAACGAATGAGAGTTGCTAAACCGTATTCATATTTGTGATTGTGTCAAATTTTGTTCGAAATATGTTTTAACCCTTCTGCGAAATATGTTTTCTCTGGGTTGTTTTCAAATGTAAATAAATATATAATTTTGAAAAACATATTTTGACATTCTTTTTAAACTTGACAACTCATTGTCACGTGTTTTGGACGAGTGGGACCAATTTGAGCGATGTCAATGACGTATTCATAGTGTATGGCTTTGATCTATTTTTGTTTGTTTATCAACAGTCCTATTTAGGGATGTTTTACGCAGAATGGATAATTATAGGTGCTAAATCAATTTATCACCCAAAAGTGGTGGATTTGAGATTAAATTGGGCTACCGTAGTTTTTGTCCGTTTTCAGTTAAAAATGGTGCAGCGTAATCCCTCAAATGGTGGATTAAGAACGAATGTTGAAGACGGTTCGAGAGGTTTCAAGAAGGGAAATAACCCTTAGCATGAGAATGTGTGATGTCCTCAGCTGAGTATAATGGACAGTTTAAGCTTCTAGCACTCCCATCAATGAGACAGGCCTGCGGTTTAAGCTAATGATGGTACTTCATCTCTGTTGTTGAGAGTATGCATGATGATGGATGGATTTTGTGCCTCTGTGCATAGATGGATATGTGAGTCGATGGCAGGATTAAACCGCTGATTTAGACTCAAGTTTTCCTTGCATAAATGTCTCTTTAGGATGAATTATCTTGTAATTTGAGGGAAATAAGTGTGTTGAATTTCCTTCTCTTCAAGGATGACGAGCCGATTACAGGAGTTTCCAACGGCAGAGGCCACTCCCACATCCGCAAGTTTCTTTCTGAGCAGCATAAGAAATTGCCATGGAAACCAGAGGTAATTACTTTTTTTTTGGGGGGGGGGGCATCCTCAATCAGCCTTGAGTATTTGTTGTGAGGGCCTGCTATCTTTTACACACAGGTGCTGTTGCTTTGTCTATTTGTGACTCATCACCCAATTATTGGTGACTCACACAGTGCAAACAAGTAAAACTTGAATAGCCAAACCTTAACTAGAAAGCATATCATTGGTATTCTGGAACACATTTTCCTCTTGTGAAATATGATTTAACTGAAAATGCGATGTTTCTTTGCTTCATGTTACAAAGAAAGTTCATCATTCACATCTGAGCTCTTTTTTAGGAAATATGTACCTGTACATGCCTGGAATGAAATTTCATCAAAACCCATTAAAAGATGGCAGACAGGGCTACTGAGCGGTGGCTTTTTCTGTAGATAAGGAAAAATCTATACCCGGTTCATCCTGCTTTAATCAAGTATGTTTTTATGTGCAATGTTAACCTTCCTCTGCACTCTCCCCTCTGAATCACCACAGTGTTTTTAGAGAAATTTTAGTTGGGGGGGTTAAAAAAAGAAATCTTCATGAGAAAATAAATGGCCTGTAAGTGTGTCTAAAGGGGATGTTTCCATTTTGAGCTTTCTTGTCAACAAGGCAGGAGAAACTGAATAATCACATTCACATATGGAACAAGGCAAAATGGGGAGCAAATATATAAATATATGTGTGTGTGTGTGTGTGTGTATATACAGCGAAGCCGCGGAAAGTGAACCGCGTTAGAGCGAGGGATCACTCTGTGTGTGTGTGTATGTATATATATATATATATATATAAATAATTGACAAAAATGCGACAGTGCATCCATCCGTCATGTTGAAAGCGCTCCAACCTGGCCATGGAAAAAACACAATCAAACCACTAAACTGAAAGTGATTCTGGACCTTATTTTGGCTGTGCATGTTTTTTTTTTTAATTTTAATTTGATTAATTTATTTTTTTTATTTTTAGGCGGGGGAGGTGCAGCTCAAGCAATGTTTTTGCTTCTGTTTTACTTTTTGCTGTTCCCTCTTGTTTATTCCCTAAGGTTGCCAGTTTGTGTTTTCTCTCAATACTGCTGTCCTCAAACATGAAGTGTTTAGTTTGGAAGATGGCTAACAAGTCTCCAAATGAGGAACAAAGTGTGCTTGTGTCAAACGATTACAGTAGTCATGCATGTTCAATCAAAGTACTTTCAACATAGCTTTACTACAATTTTCATGAGCTTTCGATCAGCATTCTAACATACAGTGCAAATGGAAATTAGCATTGCTATTAAGATAGTGTTTTTATACAATTTGTGGGTGTTGCTTATATTTGATACCAGATGGCTCAAGAGAACAAATTGTACAGTAGTTTATTGCCATTGGAGCTTGGTGACAGCATTCCTCAGCATTAACTCTGAGGACTTTGCAAAGGAATCATCAATGCATCTTTCTCAATCTCCCTTTCTTTCTTGTGTTTACTCCATCACACAGTATGGAGCACAGCAGAGCTTCCTCTATTTTCTCTGCTCACTATATGTCCTAATTCCTGACACTAACTTGTTTTCCTGGTGCACAGCCAAAATGGCAGAGGTCCGAGGGGCCACCAAGATGACGCTGTCAGAGGCGTACTCTGTGTCTCGTGGAGGTAGAGCGGGACCATATGCCAGCTGTCACAGTTTGACAGAGGTCGCACAGGTCTGCAGAGGCATTCCTCCAAGCCACAAGCACACGTACGCACTTACACAGTTTTTACCAAATGAGCCATTTCGACACAGATGCTAACGTCAAGTGACGTCCGCGCACATGTGTATAGATTTTGTTTTAGAAAGCATATTGATGACCTATGTTTTGGCCTTAATTTATCTCGCCAAGTGTAGAACTCATCCACTGGAGATGAATGTCAAATCCACAGGCATGCCAAGGACTCCGACAAAGGAAGGAGACACTTGAGCAGGGATCTGCAACTGGTGGGCCATGGGCCGCATCTGGCTCATGCCCACTCTCAGAGTAAAAAGAAATGTAGCACTGATGAAAAATGGTTGCCTCCTGCATCATTTGTGTTGGCCATGCCCACACTCAAGCCTGCTGTACCTGAGCGGTGAATTTAAAATAAATCAGCTGCAATTTGCAACCAAGTGCCTTTATATTCATAACACACCTCAATTTAAACAGTCGTCACCTGCAGTCTAATACTTTTTCAAACTTTATTTCTCGTGGATGTGGACCATGCACTTCAAAATGTCAAGATTCTAAAAGTCATTCATTAATATTTGACAATTCTATTTCGAAGTAATGCGAACCTGTACATGTGTATGAACACACAACATAAGACACATTTGGAAATTTTGTTGCTTCTGGCAAAATGGGTCATGATATTGGACATTGACAATTCATAAAGATTAAAAGAAAAACATTGGGCATTGTTGTAACAGACTTTTTTTTTTTTTAATCAAGTAAACAATCACTTAACCATCAGGCTAAATGCTGTATAACTATTCAGTAATGTCAAGCACGTATTGATGCTTGTTCCCAACGCACTCGTTACGAGCACAGGTTAGGTGGAAGAAGCCTTGCTGCTGTTTGACAAGCACACTCATGTTTTTATGGATGTAATAACACTGCATACAGCTGCAAAGCATGAGGCGCTACTCAACATGCAAGTGTGACTGAAGCAGAGAACAAGAGGCTGTGACGGCAATATATTTTAATTCTTCTGCCTGTCTGTCTCCCATCTGTCTACCCAAATACTGGTCGGAAAAAAAAAATGCAGATTACAGGAATGTCTTATTGCAGGAGGTCCACTGATGGACAGCGGGAAGTCATTTTCATCTTCTTGGTGTGATATGCTCTCCATGTCAAAATAGATGTAATCACTGAGCAGATGGCGGCTTATCCAAACCCCCGTGACAGAAGTTATTGAGGCTGCAATGTAAATCAGATGAACATTGTCTATTTCTGATTCTCTTCGTTTTCTTAGACGACGTCTAATCATCCTTATCCTACATAGTGTGTGCTTCTTTCAAAACCACACCTTTTACCAACCCTCCTGCCTGCCTGCCTGCCTGCCTGAATGTCACTTTCTTCATATTTCATTGACTGAAATAGAAAGACCGGCCTCATCGGGAAGGATAGAATCTGAGAGTTTACAAAACAGCCCCATTACGGTCACAGTGGAAATCCCACTCACACACTTTGATCGCAACCCCTTCAAATTTCAAAACTCTCTAAAATGCCAGCACATGATGTGATGCACTTTATCATCCTGAGGGCTTTGCGCTGAGTGCTATTCTCTTTATCCCGGTGTTTGCCAGGAACATCACGTCTCCCTTTCCTTATCCAAATGGGATTCAGAGTGTCAGCTGGTGCGATTCCTCGTCAGTGGGTGCGCTGATCGGCCATTTGTCAGTGTTTGCTGCCAGCGGGAATGCAGCAAGCGGCACCAGCCTTCGATGAGACCAAATGTCTGATTTGTGCTCCTCTTGATAGTGCAACCAGATGGGTTGGGGAGAGTAAGGATTTTGGGCAGCAGCTCACAGGGAGATACGCCAAGGCAAATGGAAGCGGAACTGATAAAACTTGATCTTATGTTTATTTTATGACTAACACCTTCATGGAGCAATCATTCATGTGTCCTGTTGTACCATTCTTTGTGGCATCATGCCATTTATTTGACAGATGGGATTAACTCCCAGCTCCTCCTACCTTAGTTGATGTCAATCATAACAACTATATGCATGTTGTTACATAAGACAGCCACTGATAGGAACTATTGATATTGAACATTTTAGTTTCAGGGCCTTTTTTTTCCATACACCAGATGCCCTTTATGCAGTAATGAGTAAGAAAACTAAACTATAACATGGCCATTTTTTCTCATATCTTACAACGCACTTGGAGTTGAAATTTCTATTTAGCAAAAGGGAAGTCAAGTCAAAAATTCTCTTTACAATACAGTAGTACCTCTACTTACGAAATGAATTGGTTCTGGAAGAAAATTTTTTTACTAGAAGATTTGGTAAATAGAGACGCGTTTTCCATGTAAATGCCCTAATTTGTTCCAAGCCACCCAAAAAATTCAGACAAAAATATGAGTTGCTCTTTTATGTCATGTAGCAAGCAATACAAACAGACAGACACACACAGTGTGGTTAAAAAAACAAACAAAAAAAACACACAAAAAAAACAATGTGAGACAATATCATTGGGATTTGTGGGACCAAGAGTTGTACCACACAGTCACCCGCCAAATGTGGCCGAAAAGGAACACCAAGGAAGCAAGGAAGTATCCGTGTGTATCTGACAAGTATATTGACCAAATCGACTGCTCCTAAGACCGTAATCATTGCCTTCATGTCAGCGAATAAGCTACAAGCCATGCTAATTAAGCTCACCTAGGTCATGTATTTAACACCACAATTAAATAAGTGGTTGGGTGATACGAGTCAACTTTTCACATACATCTCGCTGGAACCATGTGAAATCAGAGCATATCCAACTTTGCACAGCAGGCAAATTAATAAATGTTTGAACTCCAGAGAGAAAATCGAATTGCTCCACTGAACCAGAAACCTTTAGAACAATTACTATGTATGCACCATGCCCGACATCAGCCAGAAGGGGTGATCTATAGGTTTAAAAGTGTATTCATACATGTAACAATACAATGTCTAGTACATTCAAATGATGTAAATATAGTATAAAAACTCTTATTTGTTGCTATTTATTGGTTTTCACAATAGTCCTGAATTTTGATTTTGACTTTTGTCCATAACAGTCAGTTAATCAGTTTAACTTTGCTCACAAAATAGTTTGCTGCGATCTACAGTGTGAATTTAAGAAATATAAAGTGTTGATTATGTATAAATAACAACATTAATTTCTCATTTTTCATATTTTTATTATTGAATAAAACCCTTGCTTCAGGTCCCCAGAAAAAAAATATGCTCCACTAAATTAGAAAGTTGCTCCTCAAATTAAGTTTTTCATTTGCAAAACTGCTCTGCAAGAGCAACATTG